ACTTCAATAAAAATTTACATGAATCAAGATTTAAGATCTAGATGGTATACCTGCAGGTTCAACAAATGTATGAAATTGAAGAAATTAGGGATGATGATGACAACCAAATTAGGCCAAGTAAAGTACAAGCACCAGTAGATATACTTAATTGCAAGCTTATTTTTTTGTAAGCTGATTGATGAATATTTTCTGAAATTAGAACAGGATTCAAATATGATCAATAAAAGAATAACTCATAAGATTTATTAAGTAGATATATATTAATTAGGTAAAAATAAATTTAAAGATAAAAAAATTTAACAATCTGCTAAGAAACAATTTAAAAATAAAAAATCTAACAACAAATATTGAAAATAAGGTTATTCATACAAAAAAATTAAATATTTTTTATTTAACACATACTTTAAAAATAATATAAATGCGCATAATCATAATTGGAGATCTTAATAGATAGTATACCTACAAGTTCAATGGAAGAAATCGAAGAAAGAGGACACTGGTAATCCAAATAGTTAGGCTAAGCAAACTGGAGGCAACAGCACGCACTCAACTGCAAGCCAAATTGTGTTCGATAATTAGAGAAGGTGAGACGGTCAAGGAGAAGAGCAAACTTTAAAGAAGTGAAATTGCTGGATATTTCCTGGAAGATGCTTGGCGATATGGCAGTGAAATGAATATCTGTAAAGTGGTCCAAAAAGGAACAATTAGTGTCAGGGTATTCCAGTATTTGAATTAAGTAGGCAAGTTGAAACCAATTACAAGAGAGGTTGGTGCAATCTTTTGACTAAGGTGCTTGACAAAAGTCTAAAAATTAATTTATTATTATAAAGTGATCAATAATTATATAACATTATAAAATTAAAAAAGTCCTGCCTTTCCGCGTTCTCTTTTAAAAAAGTTCCACCTTTTCGCGTTTTTTTTTATTATTATTATTTTTTTTAACAAATTGACAAAGGTAAATTTTGAACCTACCATGAAAAGGAGAGAAGTACGCTTGTAAGGCAACCCAAAGATCACTTTATCCGAAGGGTCAGATTTTCTCGTTTTCTTTTTAGAAAGTTTATGTTTCTCAACTTTGGATTCCCTTCTAAAGTTCTGATGTCTCTCTCTCCTTTTTTTTTTTTTTTTTTTTTCATTTCAT